TCTGGCAGAAGCTCAGTGGAGAAGGAATTCTTTCAAAATAAAATGAACTGAAGGTGGTGTGTGGAGTTCTCTTCCCCGAGGAGATCATTTATTTCTGTGTTGGGAAAATGGGGGGGTGAGCTGGTCACGACCCAACATACTGCCTCTCCGATTGGCGGGGCAGCGCCACACAGTGCCTTGAAGCAGTGTAGGAAGGCCCGTCTGCCTCCTGTAGAGTCCACCTCCTGAATCCCCATAAACTGACAGTGGCTGCCAGGGCCTCCTGTGCTGCTGGCTCCAGTACAAGCTGGGTTGGCTGGGTCCTTGCCTTTCCCCTCCCTCCTTGGAACTGGGGGCTGTTCCTGGCAGAGGCCTCCTGCTGGGCGGCGGGGCGTTTTCATGAGGTCACCTCCAGCACTGGAGGTAGCAGAGGCTGCACGAGTGGCCAGCTAAACCGCTGCCCAGGGAGTGCCTGGCCCTCCCGCACCAGCTAGGAGTACTTGGTGTGGGAGATCTCCTTCCAGAGCAGTGTCTTGAGGTGGCTGAGCACCAGCGCGTGGCGCGCCTCCACCTGGCCTGCCGGCCCGCTCAGCGTGGTGCAGGTGCGCAGCCGGCGGCCCAGTTCAGCGCGCAGGGCGGCGGGGGCACCGGGCAGCAGGTAGTCCCGCAGCAGCTCGCAGGCCTTGGCCAGGTTGGGCTGGACCAGGTCGCCTTTGCACTGGCGCAGGAGGCGGTCGCAGGGCGCCCGGCAGTCCTGGCCATAGGTGCAGTCCTCGCTGCGCTCGCAGCGCCGGCCCTGCAGGAAGCGGCGCACGGCGGCCTCGGGCGCCACCTGCTGCAGGTCGGCCATCTTGAAGTCGTAGCTGGCCGTGTGGCGCACGGAGGCCAGCGTGGTCTCGCACAGGTGGAAGGTCCCATAGGCGCCATGGAAAAGCTCGTCCAGGAACTCCAGCAGGCCCACGGCCACCTTGGCCCGCGAGGGCCAGGCAGGGCCCACCCACTGCTGCAGGGCATGGCGCAGGGCGGCGGGCAGCAGCGGGAGCAGGGCAGCGGGCAGCAAGGTGGCCTGGGCCGAGCCGGGCGGGCGGCCCTCAGTGAGGTACAGGTCCCCACAGTGGCCCAACAGCCGCACCGTGTGGCCCTGGCCCTGCAGGGCCAGCAGCAGCAGGAACTCCGTGCGCTGCAGCAGTGCCCACACGGACTTGGCCTCGGCCAGTGACACCCGGCTGTCCTCGTTGAAGTCGGCCATGGCCAGGACCTGGCCCACCAGTGCCGGCAGCGACGGCAGGTCTCCCAGGGTCGCCTGCACCGGGGAAGTGGTGGGGGGCAGCATGGGGGGGGGGCTCTAGGGTACCTTGGTATCTGTCCCCTGGGGACGGACACTCAAGTGGATGGTAGAACTGGCCGAGGGTGAGAGGCCAGCCCCTCCACCTCTGCTCTCCCCCAACCTTCTTATAACATCTTCGGACCCCCATTCCCGTACCTCTGCTTCTGCCTGCACCTCTCACTGCTCCCCACCCCCACGTCCACCTCCCCCCACTTCCCAGACGACTGACCTTGAGGAAGCCGAAGGTCATCTGGCGGAACTCCTCCACGGAGGTGCCCCGCACTGGCTTGTTGAACAGCACCAGCTCAGGCCGGGGGGCGGTGTCCCGCCGGGCCTTGGTGCCCGGGGCCTCTTGGACCGTACACTTGATGATCACCTCCTTGTCCTGCCAGAATCCGCTGTACACCTGCATGGAGCCAGAGTCCGGAGATGGCCATCCCAGCCCTCTAGCCAGAGCCAGAGGGGATCCATCAAACTGGCAGCCCACCCCAGCCGGCCGGCCAGGTCCTCACCTGCTGCCCGGGGGCCGATGACAAGCAGGTCCTCCACTCCACGGTGTGCAGGTCACACATGTCCCGGCAGACAGAGCCTGAGATGATGCCCTTGTGGTACTGCTCACACTGGGGGGCAGCAGAGGGGCCCAGTTGGCAGCAGCTCCACACACCACTCCTCCAGGGGCCCCTCCCCTCCACCCAGAGAGCCTGGCCCTGCCCACTCCCCCACCCCAACATCACCACCAGCACATACTGGTCAAGGAGGAGGCAGGTCCCCTTCGCCTTCCTTGTGAAGCTGGTGGCCTAACGTACCAGTTTCCAGCCTGTGGCCAGCCCCCACCCCGCCCCCATCCACCTAGCTAGCCTGTGGGGGCCTCGCCCAGGGCTGACAGTGCTGAGACCCCCGGGCTTCAGACACCAGGGGGTGCACCAGGCTCAGTGATGAGTAAGGAATTCTCGGGGCGGGCTTTGAGCCCCCTCAAAATGAGAGAGCCTGGCTAGTGCTGGTGGATTGTTGCCCAGGGTGGGGGCCTCAGTGGGAGAGACCTCAGGGAGTTGCCATACCCACCATCCGCCTGCTTCCCCGCCCCCCCAGGGTCACCCTGTCCCCTAGTCGTAGGACAGGCTTGTGCGTCAGGGTGCCCAGGGGAGGCCCAGGCCAGCAGAGAGCCCTTCCCGTGGTGCTGGTGGTGGCAGTGGGGCTCAGCAGGGCTCTCCCTGGCCCTAGTGGGGTCCCATGGGGCCCTGCCTGCATCTGTCCCCTCACAAAGGGACTCCACAGGGTTGTGTCCCTCAGCAGGGGGGCGTCTTCCTACTCCCACCAGCCTGAGACCCCAGCATCTGAGGGAGCGACATCCCCCAGCCCAGCAGCCTCCTGAACCAGCCTGGAGGAGCTAGGGAGATGCAGACCCAGCTGCCCCCTCATCTGCAGGTGGGGGGGCCTCTGCCCACAACGATGTCCTGGGGCTCGCTGCTCCCCACCCCAGCCCCGGACTGGAACCTGCAGCTCCCAGGGGGTCCAGCAAGAGCGGTGGGTTCCTGGTGAGGGGAGAGGGAGGGAGGAGCCGGAACCTGGTGCCCTGTGAGGTGGGAGACCGTGGTGAGGGCTTGGGCAGCACCAGGAGGACCAACGGCAGGGTGAAAGGCCACCCACTCCTAATCAGGACCTGAACACCCCCCACACACACACACCGCTCAC